CCGGCCCGCACGCACCGGGGTCGCTCTCCAGCTCCAACCAGCCCTTATTCATCTTCCCGCGGGCCGCTCCCCGCCGCCATGTCCAGCCCCCGCCGCCGGCCCCGCCCCCGTCGCGTCATCTCGGTGCGACACCCGCGCAGGCGCGCGGATGGTGGGATTGTGTGCGCACGCGCGCACGGGGGGGCGGGGCTTCCGCACCGGGAGCGAGATGCGTCCCAGCGAGCAGAGAGCAGATGGGGCAGGGATCAGTGTGGCACCCGGGGGAGCTCATTTGAGCCTCTCCCCCCGGAAAAGGCTGGGCCCCAGTGAGACAGGACTCGCTGGTGGGGGCACACGTGGGTGAGTCCAGCCTATGAATAAACTGGGGCTGGGAATGGGAAGCGCAGGACAGAGGCCTCCATAGCCCAGTCAGGGGCACGCGCGTGCGCGGCGATCAGTCCCCTTCGTGTGGCCTCCCTGGCTGCCTGCGTGGGGGGTGGAAGCAGTCTTAGGCAGGAGTCCAGAGCAAGGCTCGAGTCTGTGCTCCTGGAGCTGCCTCGAGACACTGAACCTCTGCCCCGGCCCCTGCGTGGGCACAGGAAAATTGTCGGCTTCCGAGCTGGTGCTTGCTCCCTTCTGAAAGGGGGTTATAGGATGTGCTTGGCTGGGGCAGCGGGACATCCCTCAGGGCCTTTCCAGACACCTGCCCCTGCGGGAGCAGAGCTCTTCTAAAAGCCTGGCCCCAGCAATGGCATGGTCACGCTAAAGGAAGGCTGGAGCGACCTCCAGAGGTCACCTAGTCCAGCCCCTGCTTCAGGTAGAAACAGCCTGGTTTAAAACATCCCATGCAAGTCCCTGTCTAACCTGTTTCTAAAGCTACACAACAACCCTGTTGCACACCTACAAGACACGTTGCCCCAAAACACTGGGAGCCCCTTAACCTGCCACTGGCAAAGCAAGGGGGACAAGAACCCTGTCCATGTCCTGCCACTGCATGGGGTGTTAAAAGCAAGCCCCCCCCCCCCGGCTCTCCATGGACCTAGCAGACCTCCTGAGGCTAAAAGGAAAGGCCTACAAAAGATGGAGGATGGGATTCACCTCCAAGGAGGATTAATCTGCACTGGTCTGGTCCTGCAGGGAACAAACCAGGAAAGCCAAGGCTGCAACTGAACTCCAACTAGCTTTGAGCATCAAGGACAATAAAAAGTCTTTTTTCAGATATGTGGGGAACCAGAGGAAAAGCAAGGGCAATGCTGGACCCCTACTGAACCAGATGGGGCAACTGACAACTGATGTCCAGGAAAAAGCCAACCTATTAAATGGGTACTTTGCGTCAGTCTTTCGTCAGTCCCATGGGATGCCCATGCCCGCTACAGGATGAGGGGTCCGGGTGAGGGAGATCCCCTGCCCTCCATCAATGCTGACCTCGTGAAGGAACACCTTGAGAGGCTGGACACCTTCAAGTCAGCCGGCCCTGACAACCTACACCCCAGGCTACTCAAGGAGCTGGCAAGCATCATAGCCTAGCCTCTGGCACGGATCTTTGAAAACTCCTGGTGCTCTGGTGTAGTGCCCGAAGACTGGAAGAAGGCCAATGTGGTGCCTATCTTCAAGAAAGGGAGGAAAGTGGATCCAGCTAACTAGGCCCATCAGCCTGACTTCTATCCTGGGGAAGATCTTAGAAAAGTTTATTAAAGAGGCCATCCTTAATGGACTGGCCGACGCCAACATCCTGAGGGATAGCCAGCACGGGTTTGACGCGGGTAGGTCTTGCTTGACCAATCTCATTTCCTTCTACGATCAGGTGACATATCACCTGGACAAGGGAGGAGAGATTGATGTCATATATCTTGACTTCA